TACCGCTGTTTTCTTCCCAATATCGTGGGGAACCCAGAATTCAGTGTGAGGTGCGTTACTTTTTCCCGTGTTACAATTTCTCCCACGCTTATGTAATGCATACCATGCATTACACTTGTTACGCGTCAGTGTCTCTCTCTTGGCCTTTAGTATCCGGGGGGCAAGTACTTTTCCATCCATTGTGCGTAAACGCATCGCGAGTCACGTGGTCGTTTCGTTTAGTGATGGACGATTCATTAGTTCGTTGATCGTCAGTCACCTTGTCTTTCCACTTGTGTCTGGTCGTCCAGTTTATCGGTTGGGCAATTTTCTTCAGGTGCGTGATGAGGTGTTGATATTGTGTAACTCTCTTCATTGCATGCGTCGTTTTGGTGTTGTTGCTTGTCCAATCTTGTCGTCGAAGCTTCCCTCTGTGGTGATGATATGGCCTGATGCGGTAGCCTTCATATTTTAACCTCCATCGTATTATGATCTGTTTTCGTCTAGTGACTTTCCGGTACGGGGCAGGGATGTCAGACAATCGTTCCATAGGCGCATACATTGGTGTTATCGTAGGTGCGTTCTCCACTAGGCACGTCATGGTTGCTTCGTCATCCCAGTTCCATTGTTCTCCCATCATGTGTTCGTGTCTACTAGCTTCAAATTCTTTTTTCGCCAGTGCGTCGGAGTTTATTGGTGTGGCGTCCTTATTCCCATTTCCGTTTCCAATCTTCACATCGAGCCCTCCTCCTTGGTCTCGATGGTCCGTTGGGATTGGTGGATCTTTCGTGCTGGACGGGTCTGCTGGTGTGACTGTCACTCCCATGTCCAACTTTTCATATCGTTTCCCCTTGCTGTTTCCTACAGTAGATTGCAACTTATCTCCTGTTTGTTCATTCATCCTACTGTGAAGACGATTGGTTGCTAATCCGTCGTCTCCTCCTGAACTATCCGTTGGGGCGAACTGATCTTTTGCGCTGGACGGGTTGAGTGTCGTTATGATCGCATACGGGTTTCGGCGTTTATTCTTTGCCTTTCTGGATGTATGTCGTAGCATGCATCCAGTTGTTTCATCGCTGACGTTCTGTTCCATGTCGTTTTGGGCAACCTTAAACTTATCGTGGGGTAGCCCTTGACCCTCTTTCGTTGCATCATCCTCTAGGGGGGCAGCTTCACCAACATGATTGCCTACCGGTGCGGCTCCTCTTCGCGGCTCGGGACATGTACCTTCATCCTGGTTCCCTTCCGCTTCGACGCGTGGTGGCATACCTTCAGGTCGGTCCCTCTTTCCCTCTTGATGATGTCTCATATTTGGGTCCTGTAATACTAACCCCTCGATTTCCCTTGATCTGCCTTCCCTTTTTCCGTTGTTGTTCTGGCATTCTCTCGAGGTTTCATCGTCATTTGTTCCTGGCTCTACGGTGTTCATCAGAGCTTTTCTACCGGTAAGTTTCACATTTTCGTGCACCAGCTCCGTGCTACAATGTTCTTTCGGAATTCCAGTAGGGTCGTCATTTTCCGGTTCTTGTGGGGGTTCTTTTTTACATGGGTCGTGACTCTTCCCTCCGTTGTTGCACTCTTCGATCTCAACGTTGTTTCTTTCGTCAAGTTCGGCTGCTGTAGCTTCGTCCTTGTTGGAGTATTCCTTCGCGGTCTTACTGGAATAACTTTTTGCTGCTTTCTTCCAGTATTCATACGTCATCGTTATTTGCATCCCATCCTTTTTTCTCGGTGTTTCGTCATTAGTGGTCATCGAGGTTCCGTTGTGGTGCTCTCCAAGCTTTGCAATTACGTCGGTCGGGGTACATGTTGACACGTCTATCCTTGGTTGTCCTATTACTTCTATTGAGGTATGTGTGCTGTCACTGATGTTCCCATTCTGTAAGGTGGCCCTAACTGTTTCGGCGAGTGTAGGTGCTATCTTTTCTCTTTCGGCTTTCATTGCTGCTCTGAGTGCATCTCCTGGCGTGACAGAATTTCTAACAGTGGGTTGTAACAATATATCTTCCCGTAGCCCGAATATCAGCAACCAATGTGCCGTTTTTTTGGCATACTGCCCCTTTGGGTAGAGCTTCCTTAGTAGCTCCATGAACCTACGGGCGTATTCGTTCACCCTCTCTCCATTACCTTGTTTCATGGTTTCTAATTCTTCTTGCCATCGGCGACGTTGCTCTAGCATTTCAAAATGCTGTACGAACGTCGGTACAAAGCTTCTTTCGTCGTCACATTCGTCCCAATAGACGAATTGGTCCCGATGGTTCTCATACCACTCCTTGGCGTCTCCTTCCAAGTAGCGACTTACTCCTCTTAGCTTTTTACTACTTGACCAACCATTAAATAAGGCGGCCTTTTCATAGCATTCCAACCAACGGTGTGGGTCTTCCCCGGCTTTTCCCTCAAAGTGACGTAACCTAACCCGGCGGACTTTCTTTTCTCTCTCTGGCGCCCTGTCTTTTGGATTTCTTACTTCGTCTTGTGTGTATGCTAGCCCTTGCAAAGCATCCAGCCGCTGGGTAAACTCGCCATTGATTTGAAAATCCGTCGCCATTTAAATATTATCACGGGTGTCGCACAGGTATGTTTGTTTGTTTGGCTATTCCGGAGTTCTAAGGTGTTCCGAGCTCTAATGGTCAATTTCTCTTGCTGCGCCTTCGTTGGATCGTTATGCCGTATGTCTGGAAGGAATAGGGTAAATAAAGGAAAGTAGAATTAGAAAGTCGGGTGGTAAAATAAAAGGATTTTTAGTCTTTATAACTAATGGATCTTTTTTTTTTTTTTTTTTTTTTTTTATAATAGGGATCGGAAAAAGTGTTTTAAAGGGAAATGTGTTCGCGAGAAAATACCGGGGGGGGGGGTAATGATGCGTCGAATCTCACAGTCACCACCAAAAATGTCACGGTGATCGGCGAGTCTGTCGCTAAGGAAAGTTAAATTCGCGTAACGATAGTAAGTGTTTATGGTGAGGCGGAATTGATTATGGCCGAGAGATGATAACTTGGCT